TCCCCCACACAGAGGAGAGACCATGTGAGGACACGCTGAGCAGCCTCGCCAGAACCCAGCCCTGACAACGCTCAATCTTGGACATCCAGCCTCTAGAACGGAGAATCAACATCTGCGGTGCTCTGACAGCTCAAGTGACTCACGCACAGCCTTTCAATCTCCCCTGGCCTCTTCCCAGCCTTTTCTTCCAGTTGACCTCTCCACTGCCGTCCGCAGTCAGCCCAGACCCCAAGGGCCCTCACTTCATTTCAACCCAAATGCCAACTGCGGCAGAGCTACGTGAGCTTGTCAGGAGACAACGGGACACCTCGCTCCTGCCCCGGGCCGTCCTTTCTTGGCTGCCCAATTCCAGCATACAGGTACTCAGTACCAGAACCCTTCACCCTTCTTCTCCTGGGAAACAACTTTACCAACCAGAGCCACTGCTTATGCATGGCTCCTTATGCCTTCAGTCCTCCAAACTCCACTCACCCCCGAAGAGACTCAGGTCGGCACCTTTCCCTCACCCCCTGAAGTGAGGCTGTTTTGAACACCGGTCATCCTGGTGTGGCTTTCTGTCACAGTCTGCATTCCATCCTGCGGTCCCTCAATCTCCTAAATGGTTCTTTCAATTTGCATACAAACATATTTCAATATGAGGTTTTAAAAATTACAGGATCACACAGCGTAGTTTCCCTAGAAGATCTCTGCTTCACTGATCCAGCTCTCCCCCCAACTGCTCCTCTGTTTACCACCTCTGCAGCTTTACCTTCGCCAGAGTGCTCTGCAGAGAGAATCACACGGAGTACAGCCTGTCACACTGGCCCCTTCCAACTCAGCCAGGCGCATTAAGGCCCCTCCACGTCTTTATATGTCTTGAATGCTCATTCCTTTGCATTTCTGAATTTGAATTGCTGATGGGAATGCAAAATGGCACAACCAGTTTGGAGGACCATTTCTGGCAGATTTTTAAAAGGTTAAATACACACCTACCATAGGATCCAACCATACCGCTCCTAGATAGGAATGGGGTAGTAGGGAAGAGGAAGAAATGACACTGAGTACAGCTCTGATCTTTGCAATCTTGGTAATTAATGTTTCACTTACTCAAAAAATAACTGAATTAAATCAAACTGGATGTGAGAAGAACCAAAATAGAATACAAACAATAAAACAAATAAAACTAACTGCATTACAAATGAATAAAATAACTATAACAAAGAAGTAAAGAATAAAAAAACTAAACAACTTTGGAACACTACACAACAAACTGTGGGATGCTAAAGCCAAAAAGAACTAGAGCTGACCCTTGAACAACAGGGGTCCACTTACAGACTTTTTTCAACAAACACAGTACAGTACTGTAAACGTATCTTCTCTTCCTTATGACTTCAATAACATTTTCTTTTCACTAGCTTGCTTTATATTAAGAATACTGTAGGAGCGCCTGGGTGGCTCAGTTGGTGAAGCGTCTGCCTTCGGCTCAGGTCATGATCCCAGGGTCCTGGGATCGAGCCCCACGTCGGGCTCCCTGCTCAGCGGGGAGCCTGCTTCTCCCTCTGGCTCTGTCCCTCCCCCCAACTCGTGCTCGGGCTCTCCCTCTCTCAAATAAATAAATAAAATCTTTAAAAAAAAAAAAAAGAATACTGTACGTGATACAGAAAACACACAAAATATGTGTTAATCAACTGTTACATCATTTTGCTGGTAAGGCTTCCAGTCAACAGTAGGCTAACAGCAGTTACGTTTTGGGAAGTCAAAAGTTATAGACCTCTTTTCAACAGCACAGGGAGGTCAATGCCCCAACCCCCTTGTTGTTGAAGGGCCAACTATATATGCAAATATTCTAGTTAGTAAATTTGTTTTTCACAGGAGTGAGGATTAGCAATTCTGAAACTAATTTGTGTATATATATATATATATATATTTTTTTTTTTTTAAGATTTTATTTATTTATTTGACAGAGAGAGAGATAGCGAGAGCAGGAACACAAGCAGGGGGAATGGGAGAGGGAGAAGCAGGCTTCTTGCCGAGCAGGGAACCCCAATGCGGAGCTCGATCCCAGGACCCTGGGATCATGACCTGAGCCGAAGGCAGACGCTTAACGACTGAGCCACCCAGGCACCCTAATTTGTATATATTTTAAGACTGAGGAAATAAGTAAATATATTGTAGATAAGGGAAGCAGGTTTCTCACTATTGGTTAAAGGAATTAAGATTAAGGAGAGGGGGGAGCTAGAATGATTCCTATGATGTTGGATGGAAACTGAAGGTACTAGTGTGAACTCATGGTTTTTATTATACACACAGGCTGACAAAGAAACAGAGAGACCTAGCTCTGTTGAAACAGCCTAGAAGCAAAGATACCCCAGTAGCAATAAGCACACCTCTCACCCAGATATTGGTTTCTAAATACCATTCTCCACTAAAAGAAACCAGAGCTTGAAGAATGGGCTGATAACAGGAAAAGGACAAAATAAACTTGGAAAATCTTGGTGCCAAAATGTAAGGAATTAAGGTGCCAGAAACAATGAGGACATGTTGGAAGGGCAGATGCCAATTCAAAGGCACTCCCAATGGCCAAATCTATGTATTTCAGCAACAAAATAAACACTGATATGGTTGACATAATGGGTTAAAACCCACAGAATAAAAACCGAGGTATGCCTGGCTGGCTCAGTCAGTACAGCATGCAACTCTTGATCGCGGGGTCATGAGTTTGAGCCCCATGTTGGGTGTAAAGTTTACTTAAAAAAGGAAAAAAAGAAAAAGAAAAATCCCTAAGTCCATACTGGTATAAACAATTGCACACTGGAGGGAAGTGACAGTTCCTCCTTACAGCAGAATGTCATTTAATATATGGAGACAGAATGATAGAAACAGGGCGCCTGGGTGGCTCAGTTGGTTAAGCATCTGCCTTCGGCTCAGGTCATGAGCCCAGGGTCCGGGGATCCAGTCCCGCATCGGGCTCCCTGTTTAGCGGGGAGCCTGCTTCTCCCTCTCCCTCTGCCCATTCCCAAGTCGTGTGTGCGCTCGTGATCTCTCACTCTCTCTCTCAAATAAATAAAATCTTTAAAAAAAAAAAAAAAAAAAGAATGCTAGAAACAAAAATCGTTTGGCCAACACCACCATAATAATTGTTGCAAGCAAGAATCATCAGTGAAAGGTAAAATTAGTGGAGGAAAGCATGAGAAATAGAACTTTGCAGGGTCTCTATCTCCACACAATACACTTACTAACTACAAAATTAAAAACAGTAACTTTTCTATCCAGAGATATCTGGCAGGTCCCACGGTAACTAAGTGATCAAAGCTGACATTACCAGTAGTAGTGAGACTATCAAGTATCAATACCAGGTGCACTGAGCAGGGAATATCATCACTTCTACCATGTTCTCGCCAAAATTCAAACCTGATTTTAATCAGGAGTAAACATCAAACAAATCCAAACTGACAGGCATTCCACAAAATAACTAGCAAGGGGGTACCTGGGTGGCTCAGTCGGTTAAGCGTCTGCCTTCGGCTCAGGTCATGATCCCAGGGTCCTGGGATCGAGCCCTGCGTCAGGAGCCCTGCTCAGCGGGGAGCTTGCTTCTCCCTCCCCCTCCCCACCCCCCACCCCAGCTTGTGCACACGCCTTCTCTCTCTCAAATAAAAATAAAATCTTAAAAAAAAAGAATATCCACCAAGGACTCTTCAAAGACGTCCAACTTCTAAAAGACAAGGTAAGACTGAGAAACTGTCTCAGACTGGAGTAGACTTAGACGGCAGGACACTGAGATACAGCACATAATCCTGGACCAGAAAAAGGACAGTAGTGGGACAGTGGGAGAAATTTGAGTAAGCTCTATCAATTAGCTCATAGTATTGTTTCAGTGTGAATTGAAACTGATTGAGATAATCATACCGATAACACAAGATGTTAACATTTCAGGAAACTAAGTGAAAGGTATCCACGAACCCTGTGGTAATTTTTGCAGATTTTTTGTTAAGCTGAACATTATTTCAAAATGAAAAGCTAAAATATGTAGGACATTTAATTTAAAATAAAAACACTTCTCTGACTTGAAAGTAAAAATAAAATAAATATTAATTATAAATTATGAGCTTTTCTCAAGGAGGCTAGGAGAAAACATACAGAGAACAGCCACTGGACGTCAACTCCCAGGACCCTCACTATAGCTCCCGTTCACTTGCACAGCCGTGATGGAGACAAGGCTGCTGAGAACTGCTGCTCTAACCCAGGACAAGCACAGAGGATGAACCTCAGGCCTGCAGTGGAGGGTCAGGCTGGCCCAAAGGCTGGGCCCCCAGCCTGCTGGCCAGCTGCCTCCCAGACGAGGGAGTACAGCTACATACTGGCAAAGATGCCACTTTTCCAAGAAAGTAGGCCAGGCACATAATGATTTTTTGCCAAATTCTGCCCAGGGTCACCAGCATTCCAGCTCATTCTAGCGAACACCTAAACCTGCATCTGCTCTGTTGCACCCAACAAGGAAGGGCCCTCAATAATGCACGTAAGAAGCCACAGTGAAAGCACACCCACAGGCAGTCGGCAGGCCACGCAGGCCCTGCATCCACCAGTCAGCCGCACCCGCCCTGCAGTTCACAGGGCCTCAAGCAGAGGATGGTGGTGCCTCGTCCAGCAAGACGCCATTTGTGTAACACCTTCACCCATTCCCTCTTCATCCCAATGTTCAGAAAGAAGGTAAAAAACCAAGGATGATAAGCAGGTGAAGGACTATTATGGTTTAAGTGTCCAAAGAAAAGCCTGTTACAGGGGCTGACACAGCCACAGCCAAGGAACTCACACTCATAAAATTTCCGTTACCAAAGCAAGAACCTATACTGACACTTGTCTTCAGTCAATCCAAAACCATAGAAAATAAGACATCTAGTAGGGACGAAAACATAAACATACATTCCCTTTGTGTAAAGTGAAGCTCTCTTTCCCCACCTTTGATAGCCAGCAACAAGAAGAAGATAAGCAAAACGTTAAACCACGGTGCTGAGGAAACCCACCTGCGCTGCTCCTGCCCCATCAGGGGTGTCACCGCATGACTCGTCTTTGCAAACGTCCCCTCTTCCCAGGAGTCCACCATCCTCGGTGGCTACCGGGCTCTCCTCCTGGACAGGCGCATCGACAGCCGGGCCCTTCCTCTTCGCCGTCTTTTTCTTCGGATGCGCACAGTCACCTTTTGTTTTTCTCTGTCGGAAGTGAGCAAGCTGCGCAAAAACGTAGAGAAGTAGTAAAGGCAAAGGTAAGTAAGAAAAAAGTAACAGAACCACAAAGCCAATGAGCTGGTGGGGAACATGAGGCTCTGGGGCTGGCCCAGTGTACTCAGCCAAACCTCACCAGACCCACGTCAACCAACAGATCCCTGTCCCACAAACTCTGCCTTCATTAATATCTGCAATACTAGCATTTAAGTTCAGAATTCTATCCGAAGGAACTGCTAATTATGCCTATATACGGACAAAAGAAAGCAATACGGCCAACTGGCAGAATAGCTTTTCTTGCCCCTGGCAGTTCACAGAAAAATACAATTTAAAAAAATACATCTATTTAAAAGACTGATAGCTTAATCAAGGCATGCTTAAGGTTTAAAAATACATAAATGCTAAATCTCTTTTTGCTCCCATCTTCCCCCCAATTGAGGAAATATATAGCCTAGCCAAAACTTCCTAGCCATAGATTCTGAGACAAGGTACAGAAATAGCAAAAAATTAATTAAGCCAGGTCAATCTAAGATCCTCCTTTATGGAATCAGATGTTCTATTTTTCACGACACAGCTCACCAATGCACCAGGGACCTCCACAGAATGTCACCCATCAGAAGACACAACCTAGCTCTGTTCAGTCCCTCAGACTGAAGGGTTTTAGACTCTGTTCACACACGGTCTCCCACTAAGATCTTATTCAAAGATATAAAATCTAATATCAGCTTTTCATGAGACACTGGCTCCTTCAAATGACAACTGTGCTTATAAAAACAAACGCATTTAACAAATATTTGTGTAAATGTAACAGAAGTGCGCACTTTCACAGACACATAAAAATTATATAAGGCCATTTACATGAGAAAAACTGTGTCTCCAGGACAGCCTGTCTTCCAAACCAGACCCATATTCCTCATTTTATGCCCCACTCCACCAACTCTGTCCCCAGGTTCCCTCCCACATCACCATCATCCACTCTGGCCTGGGTCCTCGAACAAGAGGTGCCCTGTTTCTTCCTGCAACGAGGTGAACCTTCCTCATCACCCTCAACACTCCTTTAAGCACGTTTACGCATGCTTACAAACCATGGCAAGCTCGGGGAATACACACGTCAAATATTAAACTCTGGCTCATTTTCATCTCCTGGCCCGTGTACATGCCAGGCACATGTAAAGGGGAAAAGAACATGCCACCACCCCCCTCTTCAAACCATCACAAGTTTCTGCTTCACAGGAAGCCTGAATGAGGCCCCTCTGTCCTCTGCCTGTCACCCTGCCATTAGATGCTGCTACACCAGGCCCTAGGTGTTGTGAATGGCCTCTTTAATGCACTGGCCCTGTGGTTCCCTCCAAGGAAGAAACGAGCACTGAGTATCTCCTAAGAGCTGGTCCGTATGAAATTGCCCATGTCTGGCCCCACCTGAGCTCAAGCGCAGCAACTTCACCTGGCTCTACCCACTACCGGGGTGGCACTGTGCAGACTCTCGCTCATCCCTTGGCCGAACCGGTAAGCAACTTCCCCCACACAGCCTGAATGGGGTGGGGCCAGGAGTCCCAGCCAAAGCGCCTGCTTGATCCCCTCCGCCTCTACCGCTGGGTCTTCTCGGGTCATGGCCCAATCCCCACAACGTGCCCCCCTGACAGAAAGTACCAGGTCTGCACGAAAGCTGGGGCAAAAGCAAGATGATAAACGCATCCCCGGAGCCACACGACTCTAGGAGCACAGCGAGTTCCTTGGCGCAACCACAGCCTGGGGCCCCAGCAGACTGTGTGCAGGAGGCCCAGCACGAGGGAATGGCTCCAGCAGAGCTCCTCACCTGGGCCCCAAACAGCAGTGAGGCCCCAAGAGCTCCCGGACCCCAAGAGTATCAGGCAGTAGGTCGGCAGAAGGTACGCTGCCACGCAAACAATTCGTGTGTTCCTGGACCACCACTCCAAAACTTCTTTTTTTATCTAAAAACACTGCGTAATTCCCCGTGAAATGACAATCTGCACGTAGTTTTAAGCGGACGTAAGCGGAGATCAGCCCTGGAGGGCGTAAGTCGCAGCTCCTCTGGGGCGTCCAGGAGTCCCGAGTTCTGGGAGGCGGGGCTGCGGCGGGCGCGGTTGCTCCGGCCTACGACGCGCGGGGTGGGAGAGCCGTTCGCTTCACTAGCAGCCCGGCCTCCGCTCTCTACGGGGAGCGCAACGGGGCGGGCGCTCAGGGACGGCGCGCTCCTAGGCCACCAGTGTCCACCGGGGCGCCCCTGGCCGAGACGCCCCGCCTCTCGAGAGGCTGCCGCGCCAGCTTCCCTGGAAACGCCGAGGGCGCGGCCAGGCCTCGAGAGAAGGCGGGAACCCCGGGGCGGCGCGCGGCCCCCTCCGCCGTGAGCTCCCACGGGCGCCGCCCCGCCCCTCGCGCAGGCGCAGCCCCGCGAACCCGGCCTGCCCCGCGCCGGGCCGCCTCGCGCCACCCCACCCCCACCCCCACGGCCTCGCCGGTGACTGGCTGCGGCCGCCACGGGGGCGGGGCCGGGCGGAGGGCGGCCGATTCAAGATGGCGGCGGCCAGGAGGCGGCTTCCAGCCGAGTCGGCGGGAAGGGCAGGACTCTGGCGGCGGCCCCTGCCTGCCCGCATCCGCCCTGGCACGGAACAGACGCAGTCACCGGAACCTGCCCTGGAAACCCCCGCTGGCACAGCCGGGGGAGGAGGAGGCGCTGCCGTTTACCTTCGCTCTCCCGGCCTCCACCTTTCTGCGCCGCTGCTCTTGCTCATCTCCTTCCATCTCCCTCCGGGGCTGCTCGCGGGTCGCCCGAGAGGTGACGGGATCGACACGCCGCCGCCTTCGCTCTATTTACACTCCCTCCCCCTAGTCTGGGCTCGCCCTCCCCCCCGCGACAACTGTCACGCAGACGTGGGTCCGGCTCCGCCCCCGGCGTGCGCCGTCTGCCCCGCCGCCAATCGGGGAGGGGGTGGGGGGGGGTCGCGTTCCTGCCCTCGCGCACGCGCAGTCAGGGCGGTGCGACCCGGACGGAGTTCCGCCCCTGCCAGCCGCTGGCCTCCCATTGGCGTGACGACGATTCCACCTCCCAGCCGGACCAATGGTGGAGCGCGGAGGCCTCGGGACCTCTCGTGATTGGTCGGTTTTAAAGAGGCCCTAGCGGCCCAACGGGAGGGCGGTGGGCGCGGGCGCGTAGGGCGGGTGCGCTCGCGCCAGCTCCGGGGCCGCAGCCGTGCCTCGAAGGGCCTTGGAGCGAGCGTGGCCGCCAGCCTTCGTCCGCCGTCTCGGTCGCTGGGAGTTCGACGTGGCCGCACCCCTTCCGGGAGGGGGCTGCGAGGCCGCCCACCGTCGTGTCCACCCGGAGCAAGTCCAGGAGGCCGCGACTTCGCGCCCCGCTCCGTCTCTGCGAGGCCCCGGCGGTGGCAGGAGCCTGACTCCCGTTCCCCGGGACGCTCTGGGACCACCAGCCTGGGTGTCCTTCCCGTGCGTCCCGCCCGCTGCGTGCGACCTGAGTCCGGGACAGCCGGGGTCTGTAGCGGGGAATCGGGCCCGAGCTGCAGAGACTGCACGTGTGCACGTTTCTCTCTGGGAACACAGCGTCGCGTCCAGGTCTCTGATGCGCTGCGCCAGCTTCCAGCTGGCAGCTCCCGGTGGGCTCCCGCGGTCATGGGTCCGCTCGCACCTCCGCCATAAAGCAGCCCCCCCCCCCCCAGGAGGGACCCCACGTGGAGAGGCTCTGAGGGGCGGGAAAGGCCAACTTACACATGTCTACTCCCGTTAGCACAGGAACCCCCGGGTGGCAGGGGCTCCCAAGGCCGACTTGCCCAGCGGCCTGTGGTCCCTTGAGAAAATGTGGTGAGGATGCAGTTTTAAATGATACTGTGATTGTACCCAGTTCTAGATCCCCAGAGAGAGAGCTAGTTAGTGAACATCAAAAGTCTTAGGAAAGGGATTAAGGGCTGTGGGATGTTTGGGTAAATCTCAGTTGTATCGTAAATGGCTGTTAAAAAGGGATGTGCTTCCTGCTCAATTTTGCTGTGAACCTAAAACTGCTCTAAGAAATAAAAGTCTGGGGGGTGCCCGGGTGGCTCAGTGGGTGAAGCATCTGACTCTAGATTTCAACTCAGATCGTGATCTCAGAGTTGTGGGGTCCTTGCTCAGAGGGGAGTCCGCTGGAGATTCTCCCTCTCCCTCCGCCCCTTCACCCCACTTGCCCACACTCTCTCTCTCAAATAAGTCTTTAAAAAATAAATAATAAAGTCTGTTAAAATTTTTTAAAAAAAGGAATATAACTTTGGTTATGTGTTCGTGGTCTGCGTGGGAATCTGAAGGCTTGTGAAATCATTGTTCCTCAGCTTCAAACTTCACTTGAACCTGTTTGTCCAGATAGGGAAACAACACACGGTTTTTATTCCCAGCCCACGGTTTGGCTTAACCATCCGGTGCTGTTGGTGTAATCAAGCTCACCGGACGCTGATAAGCTGACAATCCGAGCACCTTGTCCTGCTGTGGTGTAACCATGCCGAGCGAGCCTTCTGCCAGCGTGGGCGCTGGGGAAGCTGGGGCCTTCCCCCGGCGGTGATCCTGTTGCCCCAAATGGGCTCCACGTTCTCGGTCTCACTTTAACTTTCCTCATTGCTGTTGGAGTGTCCTGTTTACCGTTCAATGGAAGATGAAAGCAGTCTGCACACGGAACAGCACCACAGTTCAGGTGCAGGACTAGGGAACTGCAGAGCTCAGGCGGATGAGAAGGAGAAGGTGGGCGTCCCAAGCTCGGGAAGAGGCATGGGAAATGAACAGCTGTGCCTCCCTACCGCGAGGGAGACGTGAACGGCCCGGGGGCAGATGGGCCGTGGAAAGCCAGTTCGGAAGACACGACTTCGAGTGGCCGGCCGCGGGAGACAAAGTGGCACAAAAAGCGAGATTGCTCTGGGCAGTGTTGCAGTAGACACGCGCTGGGTGTTTGGGGTTCCCTCTGCTCTGCTCACCTGTCCCCTGCCTTTCCTTGGACAGGGTTTGCGTGCAGGCTGTGCGCTCCCTGCTTGCTCTGTGCTCTGAGACTGAGTAAGGGTAGTAATAACAGTGCCACTTCCTCAGTGATAATGACAAGCTGGCTGACAAGCTCATCTCTCAGCCTCAGTGAGAATGTGTGAGCATAAGCAACCACAGCTTAGACAAACCTCCCTAGGAGAGTGCTGGAAACTCACCCGCCAGAAAACACGCCTCCTCCTGAGTCAGACCACAGCCCTTTGGTAAGTGCAGCTTTCAGTCTTAGCTTGCAGAATTCAGTGGTTTGAGCAAACATGGGTGTGGGTGGGCTCCCAAGACCAGGGGTCGGGCAGGCAACACCGGCAGAGCACTGGGTCAACTTTCCAAGACCAGTTAGTCCCAGAGCCTGACTCTCGCAACCTTTACATGTTCATGTAAGGCTCCACGGGCTGCATGCCCAGAGTCTTCCCACACGGGTTTGGTCACTGGTTTTCAATCTATATTCCTTAGAACCCCAGAATCATTTCCATGGTCATTCTAGACTATGTTACTGATCTGACTCTCAGTTTATTTTTAACAATTAAAACGCTGTCCAAATAAATGATGTAGATACTCACCCCAAGGAGGAAAACCTAACCCTCACTCCTTAAGTATGAGCTGTGCACAATGACTTCCTCCCACAGAGGACTGTGGAAATGGGAGAAAAATAGTAACTGTGGAGTGAAGAAACCTAGCTGGGTGATCAGGGTCGGAGTCAGCAGTGATGAGTCAGGGTGACCACATGCACTGTGAGAACTCTGTTACACCATCTTCCTGATTTTCCTGCAAATATAAACTTTAAATAACTTAATTTTTTTTAAGATTTTATTTATTTATTTGACAGACAGTGAGAGAGGGAACACAAGCAAGGGGAGTGGGAGAGGGAGAAGCAGGCTTCCCACTGAGCAGGGAGTCTGATGAGGGGCTCGATCCCAGGAGCCTGGGATCATGACCTGAGCTGAAGGCAGACGCTTAACGACTGAGCCACCCAGGTGCCCCAAAACTTTAATAAATGGCTTTATTTAAAAAAAAAAAAAAAGTCTAACAAACTCACACTGGGATGTGTTATGTATACCGCTTGGGATTATCTCCTAGCTACCTTGAGTAGCTTAACTAAATTAGTTTTTGTTTACACTCAGACTTCCTGTTTGAATGTTAGGGTTATGATACATATAAATCCATAACCACTGAAGTGTATGGGCAATTTAAGGGACTTTTAGCCAAATTTTGGCCATCTGATACAAGTTTTTGGTTCAGTTGCATTGAGGAGGGGGCTGTAAGTGTGCTGATCCCTCATTCCCACCCCAGCCCTGGACCAGTGTCACTGGATCCAATATCCAATCTGTTCTATCCACTTCATTAGCTGGGTTGATTAATTTGTAAATCTGAAATGTAAAGCCAGTACAAATGAAGAGCCACTTTGATCAGTTTTGTGCCCTGTGCTCTGTGTGAACGATCATTTATAAAAGGCTTCTCTTGCTGGGTGTCGCACCCCACTGCCCCCCCAGCACTGGAGTGCATGTCTCCAGCCACCAACTTCTGACCTGACCAGCGGTCCTGTCCCTAGGTGCCCCCACCCCTCTCTGGGCCAGGATCCCCACAGGGCAATCCCAATCCTGCAATCACATCCCTGCCTGGAGGAGTGGTAGACCCGTGTGGCCCTGTGTCCTGCAAGGTGATGGCTAGGAGCCTGTGGGGTGCGCCCACCCAGAAGCCCCACCAGGAAAGCCCCTAAGCAGGTCATTGGTCAGCTCCCTGTGCTGCCCCTTCTGCCGCCCAGAATTTCCTGAAATCGCAGGGACATGGTGCCCCCACCCTGTCCTCCTGGTATCTAGGCTTCACACCCATCTGGCTCTGAGGGTCCCTAGAAGGGGCTGGGGGCCTCCTGGCCCCTTGGAGCTAACAATGGATGAGGGGAGGGTAGGCCCCTGCAGGGCATGGGGGATGGATGCAGCTGCCCCCCACCCCTACCCCATACTCTTCTGGACTCAGTCCTGAGGGTGGGGGCAATGCAGGGGGAATCAGGACTGCCCCCCCAGGACCTCACTCTGTCCCCTTGGGCCCCAGCTGCTGCTCATCACCTTCCCAATAAGCCCCACCTGGCTACACCTGGAGATTAGCAGTGTTTATAGGCAACTCCTGTGGGGGGGGGCAGGCTGGGGCTTGGGAAGGACTCTCAGTGGAAACCCGGCAACCTGGGGCCCTCCTGTGTCTGCAGCGCCCAGCAACCGCCGCGGCAACGCGGCAGTCCGGGAGCTGTGGCCACCCTCCCACACGCTGTTCTCTGGCAGCAGCGGGCCAGGCTCCAGGGGGTATACTCAGCCCAGCTCAGGAACCCTTCAAAGACACCACGGTTGGGGCTGCTTCTCCTTGCTTGCCGAAACCTGAGACCGAGGGAGGAGGTGGGTCTGTGGTGTCCCAGGATGCTGGACTCCTCAGTGGCAGATGCGATGACCCGACTGACCCTGAAACTCTTGGAGAAGGTAAGGCAGTGGGGGCAATCATGTTTTCAACAGCTTGTCAAAGAAGCACAGATTCAAAAGGTAAGTTATTATGCCTGTCAGTATACTCCTGCTTCCAAGGGAAAATACTTTCCTGTGCTTTTTAGCCTTACGATGAAGGCCTGTGGTCTCTTGGTTTTCCCTGCCTTTATGCAGAACCAACTAGGTTCTTCTGGCAGCTTCTCAGCTGGGAGGCTGGATACACCCATGGCCCAGAGCATTTTCAGGGCCCACAAACCCCTGCAGAGCCTCCCGGCTTCAGTGTTTGGAGAAGACAGGCCATGGTTGGTGCAGGGTCTGCAGCCACGTAGGCCGGCCCTGCGGTCCATCCTGACAGCCGTCTTCCTATCTTCCACGGCCAGCCTGCCCACCAGCACAGCGCCTTCTTCTGGGTGGCCCGTGGCCAACGTGGAGGGGCCGGCAGGGGTCATCCCAGGACAGGCCCAGACCGTGCCGCTCAGCCCAGGGCTCAAGTGGTCAGGGTGGGTGGTCAGTGACATGCAGCGGGCCTGGGTCAGGCCCTGCAGAAAGTTGCTTGAAAGGGGCCGTTCACATCAGAGCAGCTGCCCTGAGATTTCAAGGTGGAGCTTGTGTGCACCAGATGGAGAGCCTGACGCCCACGGTCCTAAGAGAGCGCGGATGACCCTTGCCGCCTCCCCCCACTCTGTCCCCAAGCACCTCCATCTGGGACTCCGGTCCCTTCAGACCCTCTGGGGCAGGTGCTCCTCCCCCCCCCCCAGACCCCACCCACTCGCACACTCTGTCCTTTTCGACACAGAAACTGGAGCAAGAGTGTGACAATGTGGAAGGGGATTCTGAAGAACCCCACCTCGTACCAGGTAAGAGCCCAGGCTGCTGGGAGAACACACACACACGGTGCTCTGCCAAGCACACCCTCATTGCTTACCACACCCTCACAACAACCCCAAGAGGGGATATGTTCATCATTCCCATCCTGCAAATAAAAGAAGGGGGTCCAGAGAGGTCTGATCGTCTGCCACAGGGTACCCAGCTCAGACGTGGCCACACCTGGATCCGATCTGTGTCGCTCTGAGCTTGTTCTGGGGTGGGGGGTATGTGGGGTTCAACCTGTCAGGTGAGCACATCTTCAGGCGCCCAGACCAGGCGCTCCTGTGCATCTGCAACCCTGGCCGACGGTCGCTCAGGCCACGTGAGCTGGAGGAGAGGACCGCTCTCCCGGTGACAGTGCCCAAGTTCAGGGACATCTGGGTGAGGTGCTAGGGAGGCCTACGAGAACGCTGCCTGTTCATGGGGAAGAGCCCCTTTGGCAGTGGGAGCTCCAGGAAACTCGTGAGGACAGCAGGCAGAGCCCAGGGCTCAAATCCAGACAGGAAACGCCAAGCAGGTCACCTGGCCAACAGGTAAGAGCAGAACCATGGAGTGGGCCAGGGCAGGGGTACTCCTGGGGACTCCCCCAGAGGACAGGCTGCTCTAGGCATCCTCAGGGCTGGGGGGTGGAGAATGGGTGTGCTGTGCCCGAGGAAGGAAGGCCAGACCCTGTTCAGAGCCTCCTCTTGAGTGGGGACCCCTCCCTCAGGAGGCTGCAGATGGCATTACCTGAGGCTCGGTGGACTGTACCAGCCCCCAGGCTGCTTGGGGCCCCCAGATGGCTCCAGGTGGCAGGAGGCCAGGCTCACAACCCAGTCACGCTCACTACCGAGCCCCGTGAGGTCCTTCTCCCTCTCACCAGAGTCCAGCAGAGCCCGAGGAAGGGCTTTCTGCCATAGGGCAGTGCTTGGGCCCCGTGTGGGAACCTGCCTGATGTGACGCCCTGCAGGAAACAAGGACAGGCTGGATGCAGCCCTGCTGGGTGCTCTGAGGAGGAGGCAAGATCTTCTGCAGAGACTCTGGGTAGGCCGCATGTCCAGCAGCTGTGTGGACCCTGATCATGAGCAGGCCAGAGGCATGGGGGAGGGCTTCCTGGATGAAGCACTGGTTCCCTGATGTCTGTGACCTGTGGGTGGGTAACAGACGGATCCCGAGCAGCTAGGAGCCTGCGTACCTGGGTCCAGGACTTCATGGAGAAAATAACACCTGCATGCATGTTTTCCATAGTCTGGGTTCCAGCGGGAGTGTTCGCTGAAAAACCCTGCTTTGGTTGCACATCCCCAAGGTGGAAATGCTGTGCAAAGGGCCCAATTCCTACAGGAAGTGGGATTTTAAGGTGGCCAATGGCTTCGTCCAAACTAAATGCACCAGCAACAGGGAATGACCATGCGAAGCGATTAATTGAGTCCAAACGTATACGTTAGGATAAAATGCCACATCGTGATGATGCAGGAAAGAGAATATACTCTGTTGGCTGGGCAAAGAGAACAACCAGAAACCGGTTCGTTATTTGGTAAACTCAAACAGAAGTTTTAAGTTCCCTCCCCTTCCCGCCACGTGAAATGAAGGGTTCCTCTCATGCGTGCCCCCCACGAAGAGCCTGGCTCCAGTTCCAGAGGGTCTGTGCCCCGAGGACGTCCTGAGACCCCCTCCCACCGGAGGACCACGCGTCCGTGCGCCGCTGTGCCAGGCGGAGTGCGCGCCCTGGGCGCCCGATCTCCTCCCTTCAGTGTCTGGGGCTCTCCCTCTCTGGGTGCTGCAGCTCTGCCTTGTGTTGCAGGAACAGCACCTCCTAGAGGAGGGCTCCCAGGCCCAGGCGCGGAGCGGGGTGAACAGAGGAGGAGCCCGTGGGTCAGCGCCGCCCCCAGAGGGGCCCCCCATGGGCATCTACCCCGCCGCCTGCCTGCCCCCGCCAGCCGTGGAGCCACCACGGATTATCCAACACTCAGTAAGTCTTCATGACCCGAGGGCAGAAGCAATGTGGGGAGGATGTGGTGCCCACAGAGACCCCTCATCCAAAGGGAGATTGTGGATTTTTGTGGTCTCAAGGCCTTCCTCCACAGCATTACGAAGAGGGTCCGTCAGCTAGGAGCCAACAGTGGCCGCATTCACCATGTCCCAGGCACTGCACAGGGAGCTCCCTGGCTCCCCTCTGCGGTCCTCACAGGTGCCCTGAGAACTGGCTTTGGAGAGAGGAGGTGGTCTTACCCTTCATTACAGAGGAGAGCCTGGGGTCCCCAGGCATTCCCTGAGGCTCTCCCTCTCTCTCTCATCCTTTCCCTCTCCCTCTTGTCCTCTCTCTCTCGTCCTCTCTCTCTCTCTTGTCCTCTCTCTCTCGTCCTCTCTCTCTCTCTCGTCCTCTCTCTCTCTCTCGTCCTCTCTCTCTCTCTCGTCCTCTCTCTCTCTCGTCCTCTCTCTCTCTCGTCCTCTCTCTCTCATCCTTTCCCTCTCCCTCTTGTCCTCTCCCTCTCGTCCTCTCTCTCTCGTCCTCTCTCTCGTCCTCTCATCCTTTCCCTCTCCCCCTCCCCCTCCCCCTCCCCCTCTCTCCCCCTCTCTCCTTTCTCTCTCTCATCCTTTCCCTCTCCCTCTCTCTCCCTCTCTCTCTCGTCCTCTCTCGTCCTCTCTCTCTCATCCTCTCTCTCTCTCTCGTCCTCTCTCTCTCATCCTCTCTCTCTCTCGTCCTCTCTCTCTCGTCCTCTCTCTCTCTCTCTCGTCCTCTCTCGTCCTCTCTCTCTCGTCCTCTCTCTCTCTCTCGTCCTCTCTCTCTCGTCCTCTCTCTCTCTCTCGTCCTCTCTCTCTCGTCCTCTCTCTCTCTCTCGTCCTCCCTCTCTCGTCCTCTCTCTCTCTCGTCCTCTCTCTCTCCCTCTCTCTCCCTCTCGCCTGGGCTCTCTCTCATCCTCTTTCTTTCATCCTCTCTCTCTCATCGTCTCTCTCTCGTCCTCTCTCTCCTCTCTCTCGTCCTCTCTCTCTCTCGTCCTCTCTCTCTCTCGTCCTCTCTCTCATCCTCTCTCTCTCTCGTCCTCTCTCTCTCTCGTCCTCTCTCATCCTCTCTCTCTCTCGTCCTCTCTCTCGTCCTTTCTCTCATCCTTTCCCTCTCCCTCCCTCTCTCTCCCTCTCGCCTGGGCTCTCTCTTGTCCTCTCTCTCATCCTCTCATCCTCTCTCTCCTCTCTCTCCTCTCTCTCTCGTCCTCTCTCTCATCCCCTCTCTCTCTCGTCCTCTCTCCCTCTCTCTCTCATCCTTTCCCTCTCCCTCTCACCCGCGCTCTCTCGTGCTCTCTCTAAAATAAAATCTTCTTAAAAATGGGGGGGAAATCAAAAGAAGAACGGTTTGTGGCATATGAAAATGATGTGAAATGCGAATCTCAGTGCCCATAGTGATGTGTGACCACCCGTCCCTTGTGCGGTGGCCGCTTAGAAGCCTCCCTGCTGAGCGAAGCCTTCACCGCCGCGGCCAGGTGGCCCACAAAGCCAAACTATTTGTGGTCTGGCGCTCTACAGAGAGAGTCGGCCAAGCCCTGGCTTGTGCCATCATTCCCGGGAACTGGGAAAGAAAGGACACGGCCTTACTCATCCAGAAGAGGAGCGACATAGAAAGTCTCTGGTGCATGGTCAACACCTAGTGTGGGCTTGGAATTGTTGTACGTTTCTTTTAACTGGAGAGAAGCCAGAGATTATCTTCATGACCTGTTCCTTGGATACCTCTATTCAAGCAGTAGTAATGAAACCGCATGTTAGCTTCCTCTCCTGAAGACGGGAAATGGGGGGAAATTAGAAACTGTGTGTGTTAGGGGCGCCTGGGGGGCTCAGTCGGCTAAGCGTCTGACTCTTGATTTTCGGCTCAGTCATGATCTCGGGGTGGTGGGATTGAAACCCGCATCAGGAGCTTGCTTAAGACTCTCCCTCTGCCTCCGCCATCCCCCCCCCCACAGCCGCCCACACGCGTGCCTGAGCTCTCGCTCTTACAAAAGCAGACTATGTGTTAGTATGCTAGGGCAGCTTAAACAACAAAGTTATTCTCTCACGTTTCTGGAGGGTGGAAGTCCCAGATCACCAATCAGGTTCCTGGAGAGCGTTCTCGTCCTGGCTTGCAGACGGCTGCCTTCTCACTGCCTTCACATGGTAGACAGAGAAAGCTCTCTGGCATCTCCCTTTTTATGAGGACACCAGCCCTATAGGACTCGGATGTCACCCTTATGACCTCACTTAACCTTTATTACACAGGCCTGGTCTCCAAATACAGACACATTGGAGGTTAGAGCTTCAACATATGAATTTCGGGGTGGACACAAACATTCATAACATACCATGTCCTAGGTGATACCCGGACTCAAATATCTATCTATTAAGCAACCAATTCAATGTATAGGGTTAATCATTTGAAGTTTCTCTTGGATGGATGGGTGGATGGGCAGGGTGGGTGGATGGATGGGTGGGGAGGTGGATGAGTGGGTAGATGGATAGATGGGTGGGTGGGTGGGTGGGTAGATAGATGGATAGATGGGTGGGTGGATGGATGCTGTAGAACATGGTCTCCTAGGGCACGTTTAGGGAACTAATCATCTGGCTCTTTGTAGGCCCCCCAGCCTCCTGCCACCATCATTCAACAGCTACCTCAGCAGCCCCTCATCACACAGATTCCCCCTCTCCAGGCCTTCCCCACTCAAAGAGCAGGAAGTATTAAGGAAGGTAAGTGTTCCATATTAATACTGTTATGGGTTTATAAAATTCTCTACCGAAACAAAAAATATATTTTTTAAAGATTTTATTTATTTATTTGACAGAGAGAGACACAGTGAGAGAGGGAACACAAGCAGGAGGAGTGGGAGGGGGAAAAGCAGGCCTCCCGCTGAGCGGGGAGCCCGATGTGGGGCTCGATCCCAGGACCCTGGGACCATGACCTGAGCCGAAGGCAGACGCTTAACGACTGAGCCACCCAGGCGCCCCATCCAAACAAATTCTGACCTGATCAAATATTTGAAGGTAAAAATAGGAACTCTCAGAAGTACCCTAACAACCATCCTGGAGAGCTCGTGAGCATTTTATAAATTGCAGTATCATAGATTGTATTCCCCATACTGTGCCGTTTGCTCTGTGACTCACTCCGTAGCTGGTAAACCCAATCTCTCCCCTTCACCCACTTTCCCCAACACCCCCCCGCCCCACCAGCAACCGTCAGACCGTTCTCTGCATCTGTAGGTCTGATTCTGCTTTTTGTTCATTTATTCGTTTTTTCCATTCTTTGGGCTTTAGTATGAAGTTGAACGCGTGGGATCTGGGGCCCCCTGCCCCCGGGGATGGAAGGAGCATGGAGCACCGTCACCCCCCTCCCCCCACCCAGTCAGTGCTGCTCTTTCTCTTTTAGCACGACTTCCCAAACTAGATGCCGGGATGATCTCCTACAGAAATCATCCTGACATCCTACTCAGACCACCCTTCTGGAATTATCTTCTATTACCTCGCAATAAGCCCCTTCCAATTCCTTCAGAACAGACCCTTGAAGCTCCCTCAGCGTTTGCCTCCTGGCAGATGTTTTCATTTCCCCTTGTTCTTAAATACCAGCGTTGCTGGATATTCAGATCTACATTGGTATTGGTTTTCTCTCCACGCTTCCTGAGGACCCTTGTGACTATGTTGGGCCCACCCAGATAATCCAGGATAATCTCCCCACCTCAAGATTCTTTTTCAAAAATTAATTAATTAGGGCGCCTGGGTGGCTCAGTTGGTTAAGCGACTGCCTTCGGCTCAGGTCCTGATCCTGGAGTCTCGGGATCGAGTCCCGCATCGGGCTCCCTGCTCGGCGGGGAGCCTGCTTCTGCCTCTGACGCTCCTCCCTCTCATGTGCTCTCTCTTTCTCATTCTCTCTGTCTCAAATAAATAAATAAATAAAATCTTTAAAAAAAAATTAATTAATTAAAAAAATCGTGGTAAGGGTGCCTGGGTGGCACAGTCAGTGAAGGGTCCGACTCTTGGTTTCAGCTCAGGTTGTGATCTCAGGGTGGTTTGATCAAGCCCCGCGTCGGGCTCCGTGCTCAGTGGGGAGTCTGCTTGGGATTCTCTCTGCCTCTCCCTCTGCCCCCACCCCCCTGCATGTGTGCTCTCTCCACCCCCCTCAAATAAATACATAAATCTTAAAAATAAATTGTGGTTAGAAAACCTAAAATTTACCGTCTTAAACATGTTCAAGTAGTGTTAACTGGATCCATGTTGTTGTGCAACAGATCTTTAGAACTTTCCATCTTGCAAAACTGAAACTGTGTGTCCAGGTCCCCCTCCTACCAGCCCCCAGCACCCACCATCCTATTCTCTCTGAAGTTGATGACTTAAGTACCTCCTATGAGAGGAATCATACAGTATTTGTCCCTCTGTGACTGGCTTATTTCGTGTGGAATAATGAACGTCTTCGAGGTTCATCATATGGTGGCAGGTGGCAGATTTTCTGGCCTTTTTAAGGCTGAATAATACTCCCCGGGATGGATGGACCACGTTCTTTTATCCCTTTGTTTGTTGATGCATACATGGGTTGCTTTCATCCAAAACTTTTTTTTAAGATCCTATTTCTTTGAGAGAGAATGAAAGACCAAGAGAGAGCATGAGTGGGGGGCAGAAGGAGAGGGAGAAGCAGACTCCCCGCCAACGGGGAGCCCGACACAGGGCTCCATCCCAGGACCCTGGGATCATGACCTGAGCCGAAGGCAGACGCTTAACGACTGAGCCACCCAGGCGCCCCTCCATCCAAGACTCTTAATCACATCTGCAACATCCCTTTCACCATATAACAAAACACAACTCACAGGGTCCAGGGATTAGGGTATGTACATGCTAGGGGTCCATCATTCAGCTGCCCACACTATTCAATCATATTATTATCCCATAAATTCTGGGCCCATTCTCTTGGAGCTGTGGAGCCACCACACGGTCTCATCTTCTAGGGAATGGACACGTACGTTTCTGTGGGGCCTATGCCTAGGGATGAGATGTTTGGGTCAGGAAATACTGCCAGTTTTCCAAAGTGGTAGTGATGTGGGATCATCAAGCCCACAGTCAAAGAATTCTTGAGACGTCTCTGGTGCAAAAGGTGTTTTTATTAAAGCCCGGGGACAGGACCCGTGGGCAGAAGGAGCTGCACTGGGATTGTGAGGAGCGACTGATTATATACTTTTTGAGTAGTGGGGGTTAGGGACAGCGTAAGTCTCTAAGGAACCTGGAAGCGAGGCTTTCAGGACCTTGAGGGGCTAGCTGCTGTGAAGATAAGGTTCCTTTTCAACATGAAGGCACTAAGGCAGTTCCTTGAGGAAGGTTACACTCTGCACGTCTCTGGAATCTATCAGTGGGCTGCAAGCTGTAAGGAGATCGAACTGCAGCTACATTTCTCTTCCTTTGTTTCTCTCGTCAGTAGTATCTGTCGACACTCCACAGGAGTGAACAAGAATTGCTTGCAGCAAGTCACCAACCCTCGGTGTCCTTAGACTGTTTCATCTTTGCCAATCTGGTGGGCATGGCAGCTCATTCCAATTCTAATTTGCATGTCACCTTTTCATATATTTATTGGCTGTTTGAATTCCCTTTTTGTGACGTGCCCTTTCAAGTATTTTGCCCATTTTTCTTCCAGGTCATCTGCCTCTCTCATTGGTTTCTAGGAATTCCTCGTGTATTCTAACATGGGTCCTTTTTGATACACATACTGCAAATCGCTCTCTTTGTGGTGTCTCCGGATGAACACAAGTTCTTAATTTTTAATAAAGCTCTGTTTTCCAGGCTTTTTCCTTTATGGGTTCGTGCCTTTTCTGTCCTGTGTAAGAAGCCTTTAGCCACTCAAGGTCATGAAGATGTTCTACGATTTGGTTGACTTCTCACATTGAGATTTACGACCCACCTGGAACATTTTGTGAGCTATGAGTTAGGGACTGGTGTTATCTTGATACCGGTTTGGCCCTGTGCCACTTATTGAAGACCCCCTTTCCCCACAACACCGACGTGTGCCCCTTATCCTGAGGCAGTTACACAGGCCCCACATGGGTCTCCTCAAGGGTCTTTGCCCAGAACAGGGCTGCCAGACTCAGCCTCTCCATGTTCTTGTCTTGTGGGGATAAGAGTTCCCACAGCTGTATTGCTGTGGGAATCTGGCTCTGTGCCCCCCACCACCCCATTGCTCTCAGACCTGGGACAAAATCTTTTAATCAAGGGTCTCTAGAGAAACAGAGCCAACAGGACATGTCTAGAGAGAAAGATGTATTTTAAGGGATTGGCCAATGTGATTATGGAGGCTTGGGTAGCCCAGAATCTGCAAGGAGGGCTGGCTGGAGACAAAGAGCCGATTCCGGTGGGAAGGTTGCTGCCTACTCAGCTCCTGGACACCCCTGCAGGAGCCCCTGCCCAAGCCTCCAGGCTCCCCTTTTTTGGTTGGGAGTGTGAGTGGTTTTAGGGACCTGCCTGCCCTTGGTGAGGCTGACAGAGCCTCGGGGCTGCCTGATTTCCAGGGCCTCGAGACTGTGGGAAGAACTCATGTTTACCTCTCACACTGACAAAAACATGTTTCCTAGTATCCAGAGTTGGTGAAGAGCTTGGTTTCCTGGTTTCAGAGATGAAATTCCTAGTAAAGTACCACAGGCCTGGGGGCTTAAAGTAACGGAAATGTACTTTCTCTGTCTGGAGGCCGGAATTCTGAAATCCAGGTGTCACATGGCCAGGCTCCCTCCAGAGGCTCCCAGGGATGGTCCTTCGTGTCTGGGTCCAGCGGTGGCTCCAGGTGGTCCTGGCTTGTGGCCGCGTGGGTCCCATCTCTGCCCCATCCCCATGTGGCCTCTCCTCTGCGGTCTCAAACCTCCCTTTGCCTCTCTTATAAAAACACTTGTCTTCTTGAGGCACCTGGGTGGCTCAGTTGTTATGCGTCTGCCTTCGGCTCACGTCATGGTCCCAGGGTCCTGGGATCGAGTCCTGCATGGGGCTCCCCGCTCAGCGGGAAGCCTGCTTCTCCCTCTCCCACTCCCCCTGCTTGTGTTCCGTCTCTTGCTCTCTCTCTCTGTCAAATAAATAAATAAATAATCTTAAAAAAAAAAAACCTTTTAAAAAAACAAAAACAAAACACTTGTCTTGGATATAGGGCCTACCTGGATAATCCAGGATGATCTCATCTCAAGATTCTTAATTATGTCTGCAAAGACTTTCTAAGTAAGATCACATTCAGAGGTCCTGGGGATTAGGATGTGGACACGCTTTCGGGGGCCCCCATGTAGCAGGAGTGAGAAGGGCTGCAGCCTCTCGGGAGCCCAGTGGGCACCCCCAACAACACTTCAAAGCACACACATCCTCCAACCCAGAAGTTCTGCACCTCAGAACACATCCCCATTTCCTGTGCACATAGGGCCTCTTGCTTGTGGAGCCCTGAGTGTGTCTTCGGCGGCGATGCTCTAAAGCTTTGTCCTCAGGAGAGGCCTGATGATCAGCGTGTGGTCTGAGTGATGGAACCTCTCCTTTCAGACATGGTGGAGATGATGCTGATGCAGAACGCACAGATGCACCAGATCATTATGCAAAACTTGATGCTCAAAGCCCTGCCCTCATCAGCGTTTTTGCCCTCCGGGGGATCACAGGCCGCCCCCCTGCATCCCACCCCTCAGGTAGGCTCAGCTGGGGACAGGCACGGAGGTAAAGGAGGCCACCCAAATAAAAACCAGAGGACCTGGGTGGCTTTTCTTCTGGAAGTCCGTGCATCTGTGTAACTCTGAAAAGCACATTTCTGACTCCTGGGTCTGTGATCTGCTTGTGAAGCCCCCTGGCACTCCCCATTCCCACCTAGATGAGGAATGAGTTATGCAATCTGGGGCCCAGAAAGCTGCTTCCTAGAGCCAAATGAACTCTGCTGGAGCCTGGCCCTCCCTTCCTTCCTTCCCTCCCTCCCTCCTTCCCGCCCCCGCCCCCCGCCCCGCCCCATTGAAATAGGCTGGTGGGTGTGCTGTGCTGAGGACCTGCAGCGGGCTCCCCTTGTCCTCCTGCAAGCCAGAGGCAGAAGCAGCCCTCCGTGCATCACCACCACCACTACGCGCCCCCAGGTCCCCTGCAGGCCATCCCAGCACCTGGCTCCCTGGCTGGTTACTGCACGTGGCCCACGGTGGTCTCGGCCACCGCCCTCCCACCTGCCTCCAGCTTCCTGCCAGCCCTGCACAACTTGGCTGGCCTGTCGTCAGCAGCCCTTAGCCCGTAAGTCAAGGCCAGCTTCCTGGTCTGTGGGTGGGAATCCCTAGGAACTGGGTTGTACCTCTTCACCCCTACTGACAAGCCAGTGGACCCATCTTTATTCGGTCCGAGGCTGTAGCAGGGAATTTGGAAAGGCCCTCCCATCTTCCCCAGGGAGGCAGGTGGGTCCTTGGCAGTATTAGCCCCTGGAGGTCCCGGTCTGAGAATGGGCCCCAGGCCAACCTCCCGGGGAAGCTGCTTGGGCTTCTGGGGACCCGCACCTGAGCCCTGGCTGCACGGCTCACCCTTAGTGTGGTGTCTGCGTGCTAAGCCAGGGCAGTAACCGCCCGCATATCCCAGCTTTCCCAGGGTGGCATCTGATGGCGTCCAGCCCACACAGGCTCCGGGCTTGTGAGCCTCCACATGTGGACTCTGGTGAGCGGCAGAGTCCTGGGGACTCGGGGCATCGGGTGTGGTCAGGGAGGCCCGGCAGAAGACTGCAGCCTTGTCCCTGGATGCAGGACCGCGAGTCAAGAGGGAATACAGGGTCTCGTCAGGAAAGATGGCCCAGGAGCCGTAAGAGAAAAGATGGGTGGAATTAGCTGCTTACACCATAAACAAAGTCAAATATGACGATAACTGGGAGCTCTGCCTGCCACGTGGGGGGCAAGAGTGAGGGTTCCTGCTAAGTGAACGGAGCAAGGCAAGCGGCCCGCTGGGCTCTCCCGTGGAAAGGAGCCTTCAGGTGTGGAGAGGTGTCCTTGCTGGTCTGCACAGCTTTCTCCTAGAAGGGAGACACTCGAGGTTGAACGTGGTTCCTTCTGAAGGGGGCTGAGGAAAGGGAGCTTTCTCTGTGTGTTTGTTCTTCTTGGTTCTGTCAGGGCTTCTGACGTGAACGTCACCTTTACTCTTTCTTCACTTTTCGTGACCTTTTTCTTCTCGGTGGAATCATGTTCCCTTGCTGTTTTACTTATTTTAAAGATTTATTCATTTACTTACTTGAGAGCGTGCGCAAGAGCGGGGGGAGGGGCAGAGGGAGAAGCAGGCTCCCCACTGAGCAGGGGACTTGATCCCACAACCCTGAGGTCATGACCTGAGCCAAAGGCAGACCCTTAACCGACTGAGCCACCCAGGCGCCCCATCCCTTGCTGTTTTAACGTGATTTTCATGTAAATGTCATTTTTAAGTGCTGCCCATTTTCATCAGCCCCTTTTGGGTAAACCCTCTCGTGCCCTAAGTTCCACACTAGCAAGAGCCCAGTCCTCCTCACTGCTTCCTTGGACCCTGCAGGCTCGCCGGAACGCTGGCCCGGGCAGCAGGTGGGAGCAGGTGGCTAAGGAAGTGCCACCCAGCTCAGCGCCCTCGGGCTGGACCCCTGCTCAGAGAGCCTCCAAGGCAGGAGAGCGGCAGGGGCGCACACGGCAGGCCTGGCACGTGCTCTTCTGAAATGCAATGAAAGCTCTGACTCGATTTCTTATTTTCACATTGACATTTTCTAACGTGGTTTTCCTGTTTGGTTTTATTTCTCAACATAATTGTTAGTTCAATACAGGGAATAAATTTGGCGGAAGTTGGTTATCTTGGGATGGCCTAATAAATTGGAAAAACTGTTTTGTCTGTGTCCTGAGTAAGGAAAACCCAGGTTTTCTCTGCGAATCTCCTTTACTCGCACACAGAACAGACCCTTCTATCACTTCTAGTCGCTAATCCTGACATCAGCTGGGTGTCCTGCAGCCTCACTCAGTTCTGACACCGTTCACCCATGTAAAGACTCAGTCCCACGAGACTCCCCCGTGCCAGCTGCGAATTCAGGTTGTCCCCTGTGCTTCTGACCTACTGGGTCAGGGAGCAGAGGTTCCCATGACCCCCTTTTCGGGTTTGATTAGTTTGTTAGAGCGGCTCACAGAACTCAGGCAACCCTTACTGACATTAACCAGTCTATTTAAGGGGGTGATAAGGGGTGGAGTGGGTCTGGGAGGGTCGCGAGCACAGGAACTTCTGTCCCGTGGGGTGCATCACCCTCACCGTGTGGACGTGTGCACCCCCCTGGAAGCTCTCTGAACCCCGTGCTGTTGGGATTTATGGGGGCTTCCTCACGTACGCCTGAGGTAGATTAACTGCATTTCTGAATACACCCAGGAGTGTAGAGGGCCAAGGAACCCAAGGGACCCCTGGAGCAGGAGGAGGGACCAACCCTGGCAGAGGCTGGGTTTGCAGAAGCTCTGGAACCGGGGCATGGTAGCCAGGTCGGGGCGGACAGAAGTGACAGGTGGAATCAAATAGCCAAGGCAGAGCTCCATGGCTGGGTGGGAAGGACTTTTCTTAGATTTAGGTCAGACGGACACTGGCTGACGTGCTCTGTTGTGTTCAATGTATGTAAGAAGCCCTCTGAATCCATAAAAAAGAAAAATCGATAGAAAAATGAGCATGAGGGACACCTGGGTGGCTCAGTCGGTTACATGGCCAGCTTTTGATTTTGGCTCAGGGCATGATCTCAGGGTGATGAGGCTGAGGCCATGTCATCCGTTGTTGGTTGGGCTCCTTGCTCAGTGGGGAGTCGGCTTGGGATTCTCTCCCTCTCTCTCTGTTCCTCCACCCCCAATAAATCTTAAAAAATAAAAAAGGAAAATGAGCATAAGACAAGCAGTTACAGTGGAGGGGATGCAATGGTGATGAGAAATGCAGGACAGCCTCAGTGGATACGTGATCAAGGGAGGGGTCAGGGTGCATGGGGGTTGGGGTCTGGATCCCAGGGTCACTGCTATGGGCTACAGGGGGGGACAAGTAATCAGGTCCTTTGGAAGCACTATGCATTGCCTGATAAAGCTGGATACCCCACCCCTAGCCCCCCAGCCATTCTGCTCTGAGGCCCATACCCAGGGAGAACTCTGCCTGTGCCCCCGACATGACCAAAGAGGCATGGGGGATGTCCGAAATTCCTGCTGACAGGCGTAGCAGGTCTCGGGATCCCTTCAGTCTCTTAAAAAGAACTGCAGAGCCAAGAGCTTCGCAGGGTCACCTTTGGTCTTTGCTGAGACTTTCTGCCGAGAACGCGCTTCGCTGTAAGCAGGCATGCACACCCAAGGCTTCAGGAGTGCCACAAGCCCAATTCTGTGTCCCCGAGGGCCTGGGAAAGTCCAGGCTGACGATAAATCCAGTGGGAAATGCATTTTCCTGTCTTTCAAGTGGACTCATGGGAGAAACCAGATTCTCAGAATTGTAGTATCCCTGCTTTTAGGACCACAAAGAGTCTCTGAGAGGCTGCGTTTCATTGCCGTGACCTCTTCAGAGCTCCCTGGCAGAATTCGGGGTGCTGCCGACACCACTGCCAGCACCTGGGAGGCCTGGGGTCGGCTCAGCGCGTGTGGCCCGCTCCCGTGATGCCCCGGGCCCAGAAACAGCTTGGGTAAGTCTCTGTGATGCCTCCTGTGTTTACTTCAGCATCAGAAGAAAAGGCAGGAATCACTGACGGGAAAGAGGATGGGATGCGGCAGTTGGAGCTCAGGGCGCCTCCTGCAGCCAGGAGACGTAGCTCAGCGGGTGGACAGGGGGACCCAGGGTTCTAGGACTCCAGCCACGGGAAAGAGGACTTAGGTAGGGTCCACAAGCAAACCCCTGACCAGGGGCTGTGCCTGCCTCGGGAGCTGGGACGGGCAGGAGATGTCCGCTGTGGGTCACCTGGCTGAGGCTGTCCTGGGCCTTGCAGCCAGCTAAGGGCCAGCCTCGTCCCTCCCTCATAAAGGCACCAAGCGAAGGTTCCAGGTCACAGTGCTCTTGAGGGTAGGTGGAGACTGAAGCCAACGGTGTTCCCGTAGGAAGGAGGAACCCTGGGCTGCCTGTTCTATTCTCCGGAGCAGGCTGCGGAGGCAGGAGAGACAAATGCTCTGGCCGCAGGCAGAACCCCAAGGGATGAAGGTCCTGTGCTCCAACTCTGCGTCCTAAGAGCTTAGAACTACTTTATCTGCAATACTGAAAATACGTCTGCTAGGTTCTAAATGAAGAAAGGAATGCACATTTCTTTTATACTTTCACAAAACAGTCGGGTTCCACTTGTGTAATTTTGCCCCCGAGTCTGTCACTCCTGTGGCCCCACAGGGCAGCAGTGACCAGCAGGGCCCTCAGTCTGGTGGAGTCCTTGGTCCTCAGGGCCTGAAAGGGAGGGTCTATCTGCTGTTCACATGGTGTCTCTGTGCTCTGGAGAATTCCTCGGGTGCCACCCGGCTGCTGGGCCTCCAGCAGCATCAGAAGAGGCCTCTGCTCAGAGGCTGGAGCCTGGTCCCGGTGCGCCGGCTCAGCTCCTCGAGAACCTGCTTCTCCTTCTGGTACATCTGAAAGAAAGGAGTGGAAACCAACTTGGACGGCCCAGGGGTGTCCTCTGGGGGAAGCCCTTCCCCAGAGCCCATGTCCATGGCTGCGGCATGAGGATCCTCAGCCGTGTGGCCTCCCAAAGCCAAAGCGCAGGACCTGGTTCTGCTCACCTTCACTCAGCACTGTGCACATGGAATGTGGACATGCTGCCTATGAGGTGAAGGGTGGGACCAGCAGAGGACTGGGGTCCAGGGGCCCAAGGAGTGGTCTTGGGTAAAAGAAGAGGAGACCCTGTCTGGGGCTGTAGGAGAACAGGCCAGACACGTCAGCTGGGCCAAGGGTCCGTGGGAGGGGGATGAGTGAGGACAGCCCCTCCTGGGGGAAAGAGTGGTCAGTGCCTGGGGAAGGTGGATGGGGAAGCCCTGGGAGGGCTCGGGTCCCTGCTGGAGGTGACATCATGGGCTTTCTCCGAGATGCTGCCAGAGGGGGGTGAGGGGGCCACAGCAGGGTCAGCCTCTCACTTGGACAGGAAGCTGAGCCACGGTGTCCCTGGTGGGGATCCAGCCTGAGATGGGCTGGGTGTGAGGACAACTATATCAAGGACTTTTTTGTTAATTGAAAAAAAAAATTTATGCCTTCCAGAGAGCCTGATTATTTGATTACAAATATAATTTGAGTTTATTAAATATAATATGGTGCATATACCAACATATATGCTTATAAATGGGGTAAATATTGTCACTTCTCAGGGAAGCAAACAGCTAAATAACTTTAGCCTGTAGGTCTCTATCAGATGCTTGCATGTTCCGAATCCCGTTCCCACCTGATAAATATCATCACAATTTCTCTTGTAAAGATTTTTTGACTTTAAGCCATTAGAATTTTATAGAATTTATAGAATCCAGGCTCTCTGCTCAGCCCTTCCTTTCAACAGCGAGTAAGTAATACAGTTAGTAGCCTTTGGGGAGCCCGATATTTTAAACAATGTTAGTCTTTTGTTTTGTTTTGTTTTTATAAAGCAGGTGTTTATAAAATCCTTAATTTACTGCTTTCCCCCCAACCCCCCCATTTTGGTTTTTGTACTCAACTGCAGGGACAGCTCAGGCAGCCCTGGTTCCTGGGCACCTGGCGCATGGGGCACTGCACCCTCTGTGCTGGAGGCCCGGAGGACAGCTCCTACCTCCTGCCACTCCGCCTCTGTGCTGTGTGTGAAGCCCAGCAGGTGACAGAGCCCATGGGTGGCAGTCACCTGTCAGAACAATTAAAAAGCTATTTCAGGCACTGATCATGACCAATCCCTGGGCCAGGGGTTGGGGAGTATTGGGGGGGAGGAGGAGGAGGAGGAGGGAAGGCAGGGAGAAGTCAGCCCATGCATGGTGGGAGGTTAGGAACCTAGGGATAGGTGGAGTGTACCTGGGGCTGAAAAGGTGCCTACATGCAGTTGGGGGCGAGGAGGAGAAGGTCCCAGGCCTGGTGGGCTGGCCCTCCACTGCAGGTAATGGCATCTCTGGGAGGTGGAGGTTGAAGCAGAGATGCACAACAGCCCCACAGGGGTGCACCGCTGCTGGCCACAGAGATCCCAGAGCTAAAGCCCATGCTGAGCAATCCTGTCCTTGCCAGGGCTCCTGCCACACTCAAGAAGAAAGCACAGCCTCCTCCTCCCAGAAAGTCCCACCAAGGAAGCAGGACCTGTTGCCTGCTCATCATGGCTCTCCCTGGGAAGCTCTGCTTCAAGTCACAAAGCACCAGGATCCCCTAAAGATAGTTCAGGGTGTGGCTGTTTAGTCAAAGGAAAACACTTCAATAGAATCCACAGGAAAGTTAAGATACAATCGCTTTTCGGAACACCCCTCCCCCTTTTCTTCTGCCGTCAAGTTGAGGAGAGACACATCTGGAAGGTCCTGGAGGCTACAGTTGTAAGGAGTCTATTCAGCAGATCTGAGTTAGCTAAACACAGCTTGCTGAGCTCCAGGGTAAAAGCTAAAAACAAGGCGCTCCTGGGAACTCCTGACCTGTTTCCTGTCCTCTACCCTCACCCGACAGTGCTGGGGGCAAGCAGGCCCATGGCCTAGGCTCGCTCGCTCTCTGTGGGATGATGGAGTGTCCTTGGTGTCCCTGCTTGTAGGTCTCCCTCCCCTGATAACCCTGGTCCTTCATGTGAGACAGTGGAGGCAGACGTCCCATCCATGGCCCTCTTTTCAGGGCCTGTTTGTTTCAGCATCTCACTCACAGTAAGGATGTCATAGTAGTCCTCATCTCCTTTGCACTGCTGGAAGATATACTCCACTCCTAGGAAAATGTCACCCAAATTGTAGTCATCTTGAAAATCAGGCTGGGGAAGTTCCCCTGCTTTTATATTCTGGAAATGAGGAAATACAGATTTGGAGAACATGACCTCAGGAACTAACCTGACGGCAGGCCTACAGATTTCATTCTGGAAGATCCCTACTCAGTAGTCCCAGGGCAGGTGAGGGGTGGGGGGACGACGGCGGAGCCACTCTTTACAGATGACCTAAGACAAACGAGCTGCTTTCCTCTGTCTCTTTCACCTTTTTAGTGCATGATCACACAGATCTACATTGGTACGATTTTATATTTCTGTTCTTTCTGTTATTTTGTCCTAAACAGTCTTCCACATTTTCCCACATAAAACAAAAGAAACAACCAGTCCGTTCATCTGAGGGCTGTTCACACTAAGCTTGTCCTGCAGACGGATATTTAGGGTATTAACATGTTTCCTATTAGAAAAAAATACCAAGTGAATATTTAAGACCTTTATACTATAACATCTTCCTTCCTTAGCGGTGACACAAATGGATTACACAGTACACGCATGTTTCTGGTGCTCTTCAAGTGTACCGCCAAAGTGCTTTCCAAAAGGGTCCTTCCCATTTATGCTGTTACTAGCAGTGTGGGAAGCCTCGAATGAGCCATGTGCATCGTGGAGGGGGTAACCTCATCACTATCTTAAAGTTGTCCAAAATAGTTTTCAGTGTTATTTTTCATTTTCAGTGAAAAAATTCAGTGTTACTTAAAAATTTCAACCATACATATTTGTTATTGAATCACACTTAAAATTCCAGAAGCAGGGGTGCCTGGGTGGCTCAGTGGGTGGAGCATGTGACTCTTGATCTTGGGGTTGTGAGTTTGAGCCCACGGTGGGTGTAGAGATGACTTAAAAATAAATAAAAAATCTTAAAAAAAATTGCAGAGGCACTCTACTTCTCTTTTAACTCACTGACAGCATTACGAGGGCTGGGGGACCCAGCTACCTTTTCTCCTTGGGCAATGCGTATTGGTCAAAAGGGGTTGTTCCTGCTGTACTCTACTTATGTGTGTATTTTAAAGTTTTCAAAATGAAACTTAAAAATCAGAATGTTTACACCAGCAGGTAGGCCAGACAAGAGAATACTTTTTACCTCATGAAATGGAAAGGAAAGCACATCAGTTGGGATGTTTTTCTCTCTGTAGATTCTATTGATGTGCTGAATATTCTTGTTGTCAACACAGATGATCCCCAGGTCGAATTTCTGCACCCCTAATATACTCCTCACAATCTCCATCTTCTTGCGAAGGGGCGCCCTCCTGATGGGCACAGCTCGCTGCAGATTTCTAAGCACCAAACTCATCTCAGGAAGAGCAACACGGCGCTTTAAAAATGTAGAAAAGAGCCTGCGGTCCAAGTTTAAGAGAAGAGAAATCAGTTGTAGAAAGTGGTAATATATTCTGTAAAAAACACATGCACACACATCAGATCGTTTTATTTGGTGAAATTCACTGAAAATGTCAGGGGAATTTATATTTTACCGTAAGGAAGGTATAAAATTGAGGGGATATAACACATGGTCATGGAGTCAGGCCGACCACCACAGGTAAAAGTGGGAAATTAAGGCCTATAGCGAGGAAGGGGCCATCGGCGGGGGGGGGGGGGGCGCGTGAGCAGGTGGAGGAAGAATAATAGGGTGTGAGTGGGAGGCGTGAGGTGCGCGGACTGGGTGCCGGGGGCGGGGGGGGGGGCGGCGTGTGGGCGGAGGGGAGGGGGGAGGAGGGGACGCGATGACACGGGCCGGAGGGGAGGGGGGAGGAGGGGACGCGATGACACGGGGCGGAGGGGAGGGGAGAGGAGAGGAGGGGACGCGATGACACGGAGTGGAGGGGAGGGGGGAGGAGAGGAGGGGACGCGATGACACGGGGCGGAGGGGAGGGGGGAGGAGGGGACGCGATGACGCGGGGTGGGCGGGAGGGGAGGGGAGAGGAGGGGACGCGATGACACGGGGTGGGCGGGAGGGGAGAGGAGGGGAGGGGACGCGATGACGCGGGGTGGGCGGGAGGGGAGGGGAGAGGAGGGGACGCGATGACACGGGGCGGAGGGGAGGGGAGAGGAGAGGAGGGGACGCGATGACGCGGGGAGGGCGGGAGGGGAGAGGAGGGGAGGGGACGCGATGACGCGGGTGGGCGGGAGGGGAGGGGAGGGGAGAGGAGGGGACGCGATGACACGGGGCGGAGGGGAGGGGGGAGGAGGGGACGCGATGACGCGGGGAGGGCGGGAGGGGAGGGGAGAGGAGGGGACGCGATGACGCGGGGAGGGCGGGAGGGGAGAGGAGGGGAGGGGACGCGATGACGCGGGGTGGGCGGGAGGGGAGAGGCCGAAGAGGGTGAGTCCTGGCGGGCCCGGGGCTTCCCGAGGGGCCGCTCAGTGCTGGCACCGAGGCTCCGAGCGCAGGCTCCGGACGGCACGCGGGGTGCAAACGACGCCCCACTTTGCAGAGGGGCCGTCGCGGGCTCACGTACCGGGTCCGAAGCCAGCGGATGCCGCGCGCATCCCGCGCGCCGGAAGCCCCGCGGCGGCCGTCCGGCAGGCGAGCGGAACCCGAGCGTGGCGGACCGGGGGGGCGGAGCCGCGCGGACGGACCGGAAGTTGGTCCGCCGCGTTTTCTGCCCGCGGCGCGCGGCGAAGGGTCGGCTCCGGCGGGCGCTGTGTGCGCCTACGCCTGCAGCCGGGCGCCGAGGGGGCCCCGGGGCGGCGGCGGCGGCGGCGGCGGGTCTCCGAGTCCCTGAGCCGGACGGTGAGCGCGGCGCAGGGCCCGGCCTGGGCGGGGGCCGCTTCCTTCCCCTGCGCCGCCCCCGCCCCGCCGCCGCGCCGCTGCCGTCAGTGGCGCGGGCCTGAGGCGCGGGCGGGTCTCGGCGGGGCGCGGGGCCGCCGGCGATTTGCGGGGTGCGCGGCCTCCGTTGCCCGCCCTCCCTGGTCAGGGGGCGGCCCTTCTGCAGGGCGCTCTGTGCTTTGAGCCAGTTTAGTGGGTCTTGTCAGGTAGAGCAGCACATTTGTTTCTCTGCCTGGGTTCTGGTTACCGGGAGAAAATTAGGAAACACCGACGGGCGCCTGGCGGGCTCAGTCGCTGGAGCCTGGGACTCTTGGTCTCGGGGTGAGTTCGGGCCCGCGATGGGTGTGGAGATGACTGGAAGAGAGAAACCTGGAGAGGAAGAAAAAGGAGGAAACACTGAAACACTGATGTTCTTAACAGCGTTACATTGTAGTTTTCTGGCTGCGGAGGTTGAAGACTGGAGAGACTCCTCTCTTTACAGTGGGACTGCGTTCATTTTCTCGTGGCTCTTTGAGGTCTCTCTCGTGCCATCTACCAATTAAGTAAAATAATTCAGTTTTTTTTAGTCTAAAGGATGACGCTTTAAGCCTCCGGTAACAAAGTAATTTAATCTTCCACCCCCTACCCCAGGCAACCCCCCAAAAAACACCCCACTGGCTCTCAGAAAATAATACCTAGCCCTTTGGTTTCCTTAGAGTGTGACATGTGATTACAAATTCTCTTCTTAGTCTTCCAGCAGGACGTGACGTGATGATCCGAATTTTTGTCTTCCAGCTTACTGTGAGGATGAGGGGGAGCTCCCTCGCTGAACAGACCATTTAAGAAGAGAACTACTTGTATGCACGTAGAATTTACTGCCTTTCTTCAAAAGATGAACCCAACTAATCCTTTTAGTGGGCAGCAGCCTGGGGTTTTCCCAGCATCTACCAGTGGTCCCATAGGAACGTTTCAGGCTAAGCCACCTTTTCGATTTGGTCAGCCTTCTCCTTTTGGTCAAAATAATACATTATCTGGGAAAACCTCAGGATTTTCACAGGTAGCCAGCTTTCCGACATCTTCTGGAGTAAGTCCTTCTTCAGCACAAACATCAGGATTCTCCCAAACCTCAAATGTTGGACTCTTTTCTGGACTTGAACACACTCCAGCTTTTGTAGCTGCCTCTGGGTCTTCAAGTTCATGTGTGCCTGCAAACCCAGGATTTAGTTTTAAATCACCCAATTTTGGGGCTTTCCCAAGTACTTCTACGTTTGGACCAGAAACTGGGGAGATAGCAGGCTCTGGTTTTGGGAAAACAGAGTTTAGCTTTAAGCCTCTGGAAAATTCCATGTTTAGACCAATATTTGGGGCTGAATCTGAGCCAGAGAAAACTCAGAGCCCAATTACTTCTGGATTTTTCACATTTTCTCACCCAATTAGTAGTGGGCCTGGGGGACTGGCTCCATTTTCTTTTCCTCAGGTAACAAGCAGTTCAGCTGCCAATTCAAACTTCACCTTTTCAAAACCAGTCAATAGTAATAATTCATCATCTGCCTTTACCTCTGCTTTGTCAAACCAAAATGTAGAGGAAGAGAAGAGGGCCCCTAAGTCACTATTTGGAAGTTCTAATAGTAGCTTCACTAACTTCCCCATACCTTCAGGGCCTCTGGGTGAACCATTCCCAGTTAGCAAAACAGGTGTGAGACAAGGATGTGAAGAACGTGTTTCCCAAATGGAGCCACTTCCCAGCCTCATGAAAGGACTGAAAAGGAAGGAGGACCAGGATCGCTCCCCAAGGAGACATGGCCATGATGCAGCAGAAGACTTGGATGCTCTGTCGAGGGGAGATCATCCTCCAGATAAACGACCTGTCCGCCTGAATCGACCCCGGGGAGGCACCTTGTTTGGTCGAACGATACAAGATGTCTTCAAAAGCAATAAAGAAGTAGGTCGTCTGGGCAGTAAGGAATCTAAAAAGGATATTGGCTGTGCCGAATCTGGGGAAAATGACCACATGGCCATCCCAGGAGGGAGTCAGTCTGTCTTGGCACCTTCCCGGCTCCCCGGTGTGAATAAAGAGGAAGAAACTGAAAGTAGAGATAAAAAAGAAGGTGAGCCTTCTATATGTGCACCATCCAGTAAATGCTGCTGGCAAGTTCTTGGTAAATTTCCTTGGGTCTTAGTTTGATGTTTCTGGTAAATTTTCTGTAAACACTAGGAATTCTGACATGCCAAGAGCATGTCCTACGTAAACATTTCCTTTGCTCTTACATAGGTGGTGCCTCCTATATGAAATGTTACGTCTGGGGGGCGATTGGCCGGCTCAGTTGGAAGAGCATGTGGCTCTTTTTTTTTTTTTTTCAATATTTTATTTATTTATCTGACAGAGAGAGACACAGCAAGAGAGGGAACACAAGCAGGGGGAGTGGGAGAGGGAGAAGCAGGGTTCCTGCCGAGCAGGGAGCCTGATGCGGGGCTCGATCCCAGGACCCTGGGACCATGACCTGAGCTGAAGGCAGCCGCTTAACTGACTGAGCCACCCAGGTGCCCCGAGCATGTGGCTCTTGATCTCGGGCTCATGAATTGGAGCCCCACGTTGGGTGTGGAGATTACTTAAAAATAAATAAATACATAAACTTTGAAATGTTATATCTGATGCATTTTTAAAAAGATTTATTTATTTTAGAGAGAGAGAATACAATAGGGGGAGGGGCAGAAGGAGAGGGAGAGAATCTCAAGCAGGCTAACTCCCCGCTGAGCTCAGAGCCTGATACGGGCCCAGTCTTACCACCCTGAGATCATGACTGGACCCAAAATCAAGAGTTGGCTGCTTAACTGACTGAGCCACCTAGGCGCCCCATCTGATACATTTCCATGCCCGTTCTCCTATCCCTAGATTCTCTAAGAGGAACGCCTGGACGTCAAAGTAAAAGAAGCGAGAGCACAGACAGTCTTGGGGGCTTGTCTCCTGCTGAAATCACAGCAATCCAGTGTAAGAACATCCCTGACTCTCTCAATGACAGAACCATTCTGGAGAACCACTTTGGTAAAATTGCTAAAGTGCAGCGTATCTATACCAGGCGCAGCAAAAAGCTGGCAGTGGTGTATTTTTTTGATCATGTGAGTATTTCCAAGAAATTTAATAGTGAAAAAAAATTTGAACTTTTCACTTTGAAACCTGTTTTTTAATCTGTCAGTTATTTGCTAGAATTTGGGCAAGCGCTCGAATATCTTACTCTTTTTTTTTTTTTTAAAGATTTTATTTATTTGACAGAGAGAGACACAGCGTGAGAGGGAACACAAACAGGGGGAGTGGGAGGGAGAAGCAGGCTTCCCGCGGAGCAGGGAGCCCGATGTGGGGCTCGATCCCAGGACCCCAGGATCATGACCTGAGCCGAAGGCAGACGCTTAACGACTGAGCCACCCAGGCGCCCTCGAATATCTTATTCTTAACTTAGGCTGGAATAGCACTGTTTATTTCATAACTTGGGGTTATTCATGGAAAGCTTGCGGTCCCTACTGAATCAGTGTTCTAGAAATGCTGGGTGAGTGATTCCATGAGTCAGATTCCTCTGACATGCATGGGAGTGGCTCTGTAATCACACGGCACTTTTTCCAAATTGAGTTTTCTTGTTTTATTTGGTCATAGTGCATAATCACTGTAAACATTCAAACAGTACAGAAAAAGTAGACTCCCCCTGTAATCGCACTCTCCAGAGGTAACTGATGTGACTTGTTTGATTTATACCTTGACGGTAAATACACATATAGGCACATACATGCATGACACATTGGTTGTAGGGTGTGTGCATACAGGGGCCATTCACATTATGTAGCTTTATATCTTTATTGTTTTTTTCTGAATATTCTTGTGGGGAAAAATAAGGTTCTATAGAATTTGTAA